TCTGCATTCACCTTTCAGTGGAGGGTCATTTTTACACCATCCTGCAAATTTACACCATATTTTGAATCAACACACACACACACACACACACACACGCACGCACACACGCACGCACGCACACACACACACACACACACACACACACACACACACACACAGAAACACACAAAACTGAACAACAATGACAGTACATTTCAAATCAATAACATGAAAGTTTCACAGAAGATCTTATACAAATATCTGGTGGCAGAAACAACCACAATAAACAAAAGCAGTAATTTGTCAGTGTTTTCATTAAAGGTATTTAGTTGTCCCAGTGTTGCAGTAGAGAAAACAATCCCAGGATTTCTTGCAGTTTTCGATGTCATTATTTAGCTTGGCCATCATTTGTTGACGTGGCACTACATCCAACATTAATTCCAACCAGCTTTCAACATTTGGAACACATGTAGATTTCCACAGTCTGAGGATTATTCTGTCAGCCACCTGCATCACCATGCTTTGGTGTTTTGACATATTAGGCATCACTGTTTGATCCCCAAAACAGCATAGTCTTGATGACATGGGTATTCCCACACCTGTCCACTTTCCAATTGTTGGCTCCTGGAGCTCTCCTAGCATGCTGCTACCTTCCTCTGTGGTCCTACGTGACTCCCTCTTTTGAGCAGAGTTCATCTCAGAGCTGGTACTTACTGAGTATGAACCACAGACCTCAGGGAYGGGCAACATAAATGATGGAAGATACCACAATTTTTTGTTGACACTACCAGAGGGCCACAGAGTGCTGCACATTTACTCAAATGTAATAAAATTATCATTTTTAAAATGCTTATATACGTTTATTAAACCAATATACCATGCAGTAACATAACTTATTTAATAATCAAATGCATGTATAACAGTTGTACTCTTGTTTAATAAATATGACCACAAAAAGTTTGAAGGAAACAAAAAATAAACACTTCAGCGAGCTGAAAGGCAAAGACGTTGGACAGTTTCAGTGCAGACTCCTGCTTGGTTGTAGTTCTGATTGAGTTGCTGTTGTTTATGTACTTGTGACTACAGTAAACGTCTCATATTTGACTTTATGCATTGTGTTGTAGTGGCGACTTACATTAAAATCTTTCATGCCAGACAGCAACTCTAAGCATATGGAAGAATTTTGCTGACTTTATTCAAGAGTGTAATTCTTCCATATAAGAAGACTAAACATAAAGATTTACTCATCCCTGAGACACCTGACAATTCAAAAGGTTTGTACCTGTTACTTATGTACCTTATAATTACTGTGTACTTATATGGTTCTTACATGATGTTATTTACTGTGTATTTACAGGGTACATAGTTCTACCTGTGAACTTACACGACTAGTATCAGGTATGTAACCAACCAGTAAGTTTGACTTCTTCCCATTCCTTTTCAAATCTGTTAATTTATTTAATTTTGTTATCACTTTTTATCATTTTTTGTTTTGTTTTGTATTCGTGTTTGAAATAAACTAAACTAAAGTATTGGCCTGTATTGTGTATTACTACACAAGGTGCTGAGCAGAGTTCATACCAAAGCTGCTTGCGTACTGCTTGCCCCTTCAGTGACTCCACATTGAAGTTGTTGGTTTTTGCCGGCATGACGAAGAAAACCACCACCGTCATATCATTTTTATGAACCTGTGGAAAAACCTTGTTTAAGTTTGGTCATTTTAGCTCCTGAGCATGTGATGGCACCGAAAATACAGCAGTGAAGGCACTCACCCGCAGTAAGTAGTTGAGTCTGGACAGTGATTCCAGGAAAATATCAGCTCCCTTGTTGGAGAACTCGTAGCGTCCCGCAATGAAGAAGAACAGAGTTTTATCCAAGCTGAAGTCAAGATGCCTGCCAGGATCAAAAGTTTGATGAATGTAATTACAACCAGACATCAGCTGAGTCAGTATCCTCTCTGACAACAAGCAAACTCCATTTGATACAAACAAAGATAAACAGCTCTCTCACCCATAGAAGTGTCCTCGGACAAATTCCTGAATCCGGGTCTTGTTTATGGAGTGCAGGTTCTGAAACTCGTGCATAGCGGAAAACTTCTTCACGTTAAGTCCGTTTGGTGTCACYACATCTGAGCCAACATGACAGAAACAGAGTTGAACAGAACTGGGTGGAGTCTGACTTCTTATGAAGTGGGAAAACGCTCAAAAGGTCAGACAAAACCTTTTATATTTTCTCTGATTAATGCGTGGCCGGAATTATACATGCAAGCTCAAATATAGTGTCCTGAATGTGTTTTAACACTCTTAACTTTTATATGACTGCAAACATTTACATTTTTGTTTACATTTAGGAAATGACCAATACAAAAAGTGCATAAAGGTGATGTGGAAGGAAAAGGCTATATGATTCTCAAATAAAAATCTGACATATGTAGCCTATTTGCAGCTTTTACTCTGATGCTCCAAACTAGTCTAGATTCCTGATCATGGAACAGTGAACCAGGGACCTCATGTACAAAGACTTGCATGGATTTCTTACTGAAACGTGGCGTACGGTCAAATCCAGAAAACAGCGTACGAACAGAATAATCTAGATGTATCGAACCGTGCGTACGCCGGAATCCACCTACATTTCTTTTGTGCATCACAATCAACGTGAAAGTGAATGATTGTGAGACACCTCCCCTGACACACCTTCATTTACAAAATGCAAATAAATGTACATAATCTATACAATGTAATTTTCTGGATTTCTTTATATTCTGTCTCTCACAGTTAAAATTAACCTACCCTTAAAATATAGACTGTTCATGTCTTTGTAAGTGGACAAACTTGCAAAATCAGAAAGGGATCAAATACTTGTTTCCTCCACTGCATCTGTGTGAGCAGAGGAAATCTCCACCTGGTTTCCTGTGGAGCATGTGGTTGGCCTCCACGGCAGTGATCTGGGAGACCGTGGTGAAAACGTGAGCACAGTGCACCGCTGCTCGTTCTAGGCAGTACCGATGGTAGATCTGCCTCTCGCCTGCCTCCTTGTCAATGTCGAACTACAACACACAGAAAGCACAGGTTGCATTTCAGCCTGTCTGCGTGCAGGAAACTGGGTCTACAATGACTACTTTTTACTCATCCTGATTCTAGACTTTCATCTTGAATTTTGAATGTCTGACCAAAATTGCTATTAAAGTTTTTAACTTGATGTTTATATATGAATCTATCATGAAAGGAATGTTAGGTTTTTGATCAAAACACTGTGATTATAATTTGGACCAAAGCCGTGGACACTGAGAGGGGATGATAGAGTTTGGACAGAACTTCATTATTCTAACTGATTTCCTGTAAACAGGAAGTAATCTGTGCTGCAGCTTGCCTCACTTATCAGATCTTTAAATGAATACTGATGTGATTCCTTTGAGCCTCCCTCAGGTTCATCTGTCAATTATCTCTGAGTCAGTGAGCGACCTTCAGCTTCGTGCTGACCTTTAGGATGTGAATGGACACAGGTCCAATTATAAGCTATCCACGTGCAGCCAAACATTACTAATCTTGCTCTGAGCGATCGGAACGAGCCTGAATGTGTGAAGAAATCTGGCAGCGCTGCATACAGTAATGCTGAGGGACAGAACCTTTGAACTTTTTGGATTGGATTTTAGTTCATTAGAAACTTTGTAAAGTGTTCAGAGAACAAATATGTGGGAATCAGCAGGGTATGCTGTGTGTGCTGCAGTCTGGAGTTATTTGTTTGAAATTTGATCTGTTTTAGGTTAAAACTGCATCTATCATGTTATCAAAGACCTCATWTTAAACATGTCACATGTTGTCGTTCATGTTATCAAAGACCTCA